CTGGACAGACAGGGTAGCCCAGGGCAAGGTGTGCACGGCGCCCCTCCCACCTGAGCGCTTTCTAGGCTGAAGTAACAAGGGGCTAATAATAAAAAGGTTAAAGTTTAAACTTTTTTGTACTACAGGTTAGATTTGGATTTTTTTTTCATTCAGTTACTAAGTTCTGATAGTTTATTTGACCATTTCAGTTGCTGTTCAATCCCATATTCCTCTACTCTTTAAAGGATGGAAATGATTTCATAAATCTTTGACTCCTAAAGAACCGGATCCATAGACATCTTTAAATTTACTTAGGAGCAATACATCCAGTTCTTTGTGCTTTCTTGTTTAAATATTATAATTAAAATATTTCTGTGTGGGTCAGGGTATAGCAACATGCTTTGTAAGCTGTTTTCTGTCCAACAGCATATCTGTAAATTTCTCGCAGATTTCCTTTTCAAAAGACCTTGTGTAAAATATATTCATAGGTGTGAGTGTGACAGATCTAGGTAGGTAGGTGTGTATATATGTGTGTACAGTGAGAGAAACTTTTTTCTTAATCTTTTTTGCCAGTGAGGGAAAAAAATCGTAAAGTAGTTGATCCAAGGTCTTGAAAATCTGAAAGAAAATCTAAGAAATATATCAGGCATTTTACAAAGTATGTGAGCTCTTTGGGGTTGGGGGGTGTGGTGAGAGACCTCTACAGGGAAGTGGGCGATGGTTTTAAACAGGGAGGGCTCTTGGTTCCGGGTGTCCCCAGGCTGTCCAGGCGTCTGTCCATTGATTCCCTCCCTCTTTCCTGGATCCTCACCCTGTCTCACTGGCTCCGCCATCATTCAACAGTTGAAGATTCTCCTTTTCCCCGCAAAAAACCAACAACTTCAGCCAAAACCCCTGCTCCTCGTCCCCTCCAGCTGCTTCCCCATCTCTTCCTATCGTGGCCAGACCTCTTGAGCGAGCTTTTCTTGCCCATTTTCTCCACTTCCTCCTCTCCTGTCCTCAGGGCTGGACTTGGCCTCGCCCGGGTCACCAGCAGCCTCCGCCAGGCAGAGCTGGTAGGCACCGGTTAGCCCTCATCCCACCCGCCTCCTCGGCTTGGGGCTCCTTCCTCCCACCAACCTGCCCTCTGACTGGGAGGATACCCTCGTCTCCTCTTCCCTTGGCCTCCAGGCCATGCTCTGGTTCCCCTCCTTTCCCTTGGGATCTCCTCAGGCTCCTGTCCAGGTCCCCATCTGCCTTTACCGGCACCTCAGCAAATATTGGCTTCCTCAGGACTCAGCCTCAGACCTGCTTCATCTCTTGCGCTCTCACAAGCTCACCTGTCCTGTGGCCTCAACTTCCATCTGGTTTCCACCCTCCCAAAGCTGTTTCCCCTGACGAGGCCTTCCCTCTGGGATCCAGACTCCAGCGTCTGAATCCTCCTTGGATGTTGTGGAGCTACTGCGATCTCATTGTCGAGGACGGAACTCACCTTCCTGCCCAACCTGCTTGCTTGCCAGCATCCCCCTTCCTTCCACAGGAAACAATAACATGTAGCTCCCTCTTACGAAGTGTTTACTGGATGCACATGCTGTTCTATGCCAAGGCATTTCATCCTCGGGCCACCGTCATGGCAGGCCCTGTGTCTAGTTCCTCGTGCCAGCCTGGGAGACCCCAGGGAAAGCAGGGGGCCAGGGGGTGGACCCAGGAGCCAGACTCCTGACCCCGTGCCCAGACCATCGCGCAGCAAGCCTCCTAGGACCCGGGCATCCTCCAGGCCCTTCCCTTCCCTGGTCACCCCACCTTCCCCTCGCTCCTGTGACCTGTTGCTTCTGCTCCCTGTGTCTCTTTTAATTCCACCCCCTTCCTTCCACCCCGCTGTGTCCCCATATAGGGTCTGGGCTGCAGCAGCCAGCCCCCCATCATGCTGTGATGCGCCGGCCTCCACGTCTGGGTCAGATCCTGTCACTGTGTGCCCAGCCCGCCCTCCCTTCTCCTTCAGGCCCTCACCCTCACACGAGTCCTCGTTTGATGTCTCTCCTCCCTGCTGCTCTGGGAGCTCCTGTCCCCCCTGTATGGCACCAGGCAAGCCAGGAAGTTTTTTAGAGAGAACGTGCCATTTCCCAGCTCAGTCCATACCCCTCAGTCCAGCCAGCAGCCTCCCAGGGAACCAAAACAGGAAGTAAGGCGAGAGGCTGTGATGCAGTCCCCTGAGCCGCTGGCCACCGCGGAGGTGGCATCCTCCACTACAGTGGGCATTGGGCAAAAGGCATTCTGTGCCGTTGCCAGTAAAGCGTGTGGCCCTGGGAGGACACCTCATTCTCAGTCTCGGTGCCTCATCTGTGCGCTGTGAGAATAACAGGACCGGCTCTACAGGGCTTCCTGTGACAATCGGATGAGGTCGTGTCCGCGGAGCACGTAGCACAGGGAGGGCTCATCTGCACCAGCTGTCGTGTTCCTAAAACATAAGCGCTGGGCTTGATAAATCCTCAACACACACACACCCGGCGCTTCACAGCCCGGACAGGTCACTTCACCCGCTCCGCTCTGCCGCCCTGAGAAGTGGGAGCGGAGGTGAGCCTCCGTTCCTTGCGCCTGCTTCTCTCACACCTCAGAGCCTCACAGGCTGAGTTCGCACTCTCCAGTGGGTGCATTAGGATGTCGATCGGCCGTGGTGCCGGGCTGGGCCCAGATCCCTCGAGAACTGCTGCCCTCTCCCGCCTGCCTCCGTCCCTCTTACTCCCTTCACTGTCGCCCAGGCCTGCGGGGGGCCATCCCCTACGCCCTGAGCCTGCACCTGGACCTGGAGCCCATGGAGAAGCGGCAGCTCATCGGCACCACCACCATCAGCATCGTGCTCTTCACCATTCTCCTGCTGGGCGGCAGCACCATGCCCCTCATCCGCTTTGCGGACATCGAGGATGCCAGGGCGCGCCGCAGGAACAAGAAGGACGTCAACCTCAGCAAGACCGAGAAGATGGTGAGTGCCAGCCGGGCGGGCAGGGGCAGAGGGTGGGTTCCCCACTCGCCGCCAGAAAATGGGGAAATGAGACACGATCTGAGGATGATCCGTCCCTGGGCACGCACGCATAGGCGCGCGGCACATGCACAGACGCACGCACCAGCTTCGCAAAGTGACAAGGAGGTTGGACTCAGTGTCTGAAGCGTGGCTCTTTGGGGTGGGTTGTCTGCCAGCCTCGTGAAGCCACGGAGGCAGTGGCGTGGGAACGTGGACCTCTAGCAGACCCTTCCAGGAACGCTCCTCCCCTGCCAGTAACCACACCACCCCATCAGGCCGGGGCTGGAAGGAGGGTTTCAAAATCACAAAATGACAAAATTGTATCATTCCCTAGCGTCTACTAAAAAGCCTCCTGTTGGGGCTAGATAAGGGGAAAGTGCTCACAGAGGCTTGGAGAGTCACGGGAGAGGGCCCTCCACTGAGGACAGGCAAGGGCATGATTTGGGGGTGGAGGTGCCCAGGGCCAGCTGCAGCGAGCCTGAGGCCCCTGGACCCCTGCCCACCTCTGCCTCCTCCAAGCCACCCTCCTCCCCTGAGTCACAGTGATTGTGCCTTTCCTGCCCTGTGTTCCCTCGGGCCCTGGCCTCTGGTCCTGTCTTCCTGCACCACCCCCTGCTCCTCGCACATGCTTTTGCAGAAATGCATCTTTTTCTAGTTCCCTTGTTCAAGGCTATCAGTAACTTTACTCAGCCCTGGAAAGCACAGAAATCCTCAACCAGAGGTGGGGAAAGGGGATGTGGCCCACCTCTCACTCTGGAAAGTCCAGTCTGGGCGGATCTTGGCCTCCAGTCTCTGCCCGCGGCCTCTCCAGCCAGAGTAGTGCTGCTGGGAGAACCTTCAGATGACGTCAGACGGGGCTGGCTCACAGGACTTTCCTCACTCTCCGTAGCCCTTCTCCCCCCACCCCCATTCACCAGCCTTCTTGTCTGTTTTTAACCAAAGCTCAAGTATAGGTTCTCGAAGCTTTTAGTGGATGTCAGGATTGGTGGAGGGCTCCAGGGTCTTACAGGTCTGGGGTGGGCGCCCAAAGAATTTGCATTTCTGATGAGTTGCCGGGAGGTGCAGCCACACCTGGCCAAGCACAGCTCTGGTAGAACCAGGATGTGTGCTCAGGGGGGAGCAGCTGCTGTTTAGGGCATGTTTTCTGTGGTGCCTGCACTGTCCTTGGACTGTCCCTGATAACCTGCAGGAAGCAGATGGTCTCATGATCCCCATTTTGCAGATGAGAGCACTGAGGCACAGAGACCAGATCACACAGCTGTGGTCACACAGACTCTTAACCACCCCACTTTCCATCACTGGTCGTCAAGGTGGGGTTCCTGGACCAGCAGCATCGGTGGGCACTTGTTAGAAATGCACATTCTTGGGCCCCCTCCCAGACCTGCTAAATCAGGAACTGCAGGTGGGCCTAGTGGGCCCAGCATTTTGTGGCTCCCCAAGCTCCAGGTGGTTCCGATGCCGGCCAGAGTTTGAGAAGCACTGCTCTACGGCAGGGAAATGCCCTCCCTGCCCCTCCCTCTCTCCCACCTCCTACACCCAGGGTACACCTGCACTTGGGGGCGACAGTGCAAAGCTGCCTGTGGTCGCCCCTGCAGAGGGTGGGTGGTCCTTCCTTCCCTCCCTCTCTCCCTCTCCACTGCATCCACATGACCAGCAAATGTACCCAGAGTGCGCCTCTGCAGGCAAAAAATGACAAAAGCCGCCTCCCCCGTTCAGTTCACTGGTAAAGAGACAGCCTAGAAGAGCTCCCAGTCCTGGCCGCACAGGCAGCCACCTGCAGAGCTTGCAGTGGACCAAGCCCCAGCCCTGAGCTTCCAACTTCTTCACAATGCTGATTTTCCTGGATGTCCATCGTTTTCTTACACACCTTCCCGCCTCCCTACAGGCTCCCAGGAGGCCTCCTGCTGCCACCGCTGGGGTTGGGGACACGGGGGCCGGGGTGAAGAGCTGCGAGGAGGTAGGCTGGGTGGTGTGAGGGCTTCCAGGCAGGTGTCAGCTGACGAGCCTTCGGCTGCCTTCCCCCCGCCGCCGCAGGGCAACACCGTCGAGTCGGAGCACCTGTCGGAGCTCACCGAGGAGGAGTACGAAGCCCACTACGTCAGGCGGCAGGACCTCAAAGGCTTCCTGTGGCTGGACGCCAAGTACCTGAACCCCTTCTTCACACGGCGGCTGACCCAGGAGGTGGGACGCAGGCCAGGGGTCCCTCGCCTTCCTCCCTCAGGGCCTGCAGTGGCCAAGAGCAGGGTGGGCAGGGAAGACCCACGTGCCGGGTTGGGTGGGGGCCTCGCCCCACTCAGCGTTCTCTCCTCCCCAGCCTCGCGGGCTGGATATGCTTGCGGCACTCTGCATCTGCTGTTTTTCCTTCGCTGCCATATTTAATGCCAGTTTGTTTATTTATTTAATTCATTCATTTTTGGCTGCGTTGGGTCTTCGTTGCTGCGCGTGGGCTTTCTCTAGTTGCGGCGAGCGGGTACTCTGCGTTGTGGTGCGCGGGCTTCTTATTGTCGTGGTTTCTCTTGTTGCAGAGCATGGGCTCTAGGCGCGTGGGCTTCAGTAGTTGTGGCTCGCGGGCTCTAGAGCGCAGGCTCGGTAGTTGTGGTGCATGGGCTTAGTTCCTCCACGGCATGTGGGATCTTCCCGGACCAGGGCTCAAACCGTGTCCCCTGCATTGACAGGCGGATTCTTAACCACTGCGACACCAGGGAAGTCTCTAGTGCTAGTTTAATAGTAGGCTTGTTAACCCAGTTTGGTTTTCCTGGATGATAGACTTGGGACATTGATCGGCTACTGAATCTGAGCTGAGGAATTTCAGACCTGCCAGGGCCTCGGACAGTGGCCTGAGGCTCAGGGCTCTCGCTCCATCCCTCCAGGCACCACTGGCCTGACAGTGAGTGACACACTCAGGGACCAGCTTGGGCCTGCTTTGCTGAAACTGTCATCCTTCACCGTGCAGGGTCGGGGAGGGGTTCTCCTGGCTGCTGCCCCGCTTTGGTTCTGAGCCCCGTTTTCCCTCCCTCAGCAGTCAGGATCGCTGTCAGCACGTGAGTTCTTACTGTGAGCCAGGCGCTACACCAGACGTTTTTCATGATTGCTTCGTTTAATTCTCCCAGCACCCCATGCAGTAGATGCAGCGGGTTGTCTCAGTTGATAGCCGGGGAGACTGAGGCCCAGAGAGGTGAAGTAACCCCCCGAGGTCACACAGCCAGTACGTGGCAAAGCTGGAAGCAGAGCCCAAGTGTGTCTGATTCCAGAGGCCAGGTTTTTTAACATCATGCCATCCTGCCTCCTACTCCTGTTCCAGGGTGACGCCTCCCCAACAGAGAATGATCCCAGCTTGCGGTTAGTCAGTTAACACTTTGAAATTGCTTGTGGCCGCGCCCCCTGCCTCTCATCTCCTCCCTTCCTCAACCCTGACCCCGAGCCAGACCACTGACAAGGGCTTGCTGTGTCTCCCGCCCCAGGACCTCCACCACGGGCGCATCCAGATGAAAACCCTCACCAACAAGTGGTACGAAGAGGTGCGCCAAGGCCCCTCCGGCTCCGAGGACGACGAGCAGGAGCTGCTGTGACCGAGCGGGACGGTTGGCTTCCGGGCAGCCGGGGCCGCAGCACTGCCATCCAGCCTCCCCGCGGCTCCCAGGACGGCCACCCAGCAAGGGCCCCCGAGGCATGTGCATTTATTTGGCACTTCTTTGGGGCAGATGGAAGCAGGGTGACGCACAGGCTACTGTCGTCTTAACCCAGGACCTCCCAGGCCTTTGGAGCCAGCCGGCTGCCCTGAAGCACCCTCTCCCCGCTCCTCACTGGGCTGGACCTCTGCCCTCAGGGTGGCTTCCCAGCCCGCGGATTGGAGGGACCACCTTTGCAGGTACATGTTTCCTTCTGCTTCTGTAGCCGGGGAATAGTCATCTGTCACGCCGAGGTGCCTGAGAGGAGAAATCCTGCCATGGACCCACTGTGCAGGGCGTCCCGGGAGCGTGGTGCGCCGTTGCCGCCATCCCTGGCCACTGCCATCATTACAGGGGCCCTTCCTTCCCTGCTGGACGGGTGTCGGTAGCAGCAGGGCGAGAGGCCAGCCGCCGCTTCCCTGTGCGTCATCAAGGCGCCTCCGCCCTCAGCAGCGGCGGTTCTCACTTAAGCAGCAGGCTCAGAAGCCTTGGAAACCTCACACTCCCCTTCGTGATGTCGCTTGCACTCCCTGAGAAAGAGAAACTGAGTGACCTTTTTCTCTTTACCTCTGATTGGCACCTCACAGGCTATCTCCCTGGGCAGCAGGCAGCTACTGCCCTTCTCTGGGAATACTGTGAATGTTTACACTGGAACCGAGCACGAGGGCACAGGCACCTCTCTAGAGCCCCATTGGAAGCCGTATCCCTGGGTTTTTTGGGGGTGAGTGACCCTATTCTGTGGGGTCAGAGCACCCTCTAGAGGGAAAGTCTTCAGGGTTTATGCTGGCCAGCAGCTGCTGTCTTTGAATTCAGTTTAAATTCATGCACTTTTACAAAGTGGTGAGAGCCTAGCAGTCCCTTTCCTGACCTCGATTCCTTACTCAGTGGTCCTTGTTTGTTCAGAGGCCCCTTTTTCCTGGGCTCTGCCCACCGTTTACCTGCTGCACCTTCACTGCTCATCGGCATCTTTTTTTTTCCCTCCCAGTTCTCTACCATCTTGGGTCCCATTTGTCCCCGTGCTTCTCCTCTGCCACCCCTCCCCAGGACCCCAGTGGCCTGCAGCCAGATGCATCTGAGTCTCACCTGCAATCCCTGAGCAGCCACTGCTACCTCAGGACTCGCTCACAGAGTGCTTGCGCATGCGCGCACACACACACCACACACACACACCCCTGCCCCAGCCACACGTGCACACGCACACACACACCACACACAAACACACCCCCGCCCCCCCCACGCGCGCACACACACACCACACCACACACACACACACACACACACACACACACACACACACAGACACACACACAAACACAGATACACAGACGCGCGCACAGACACACAGACACGCACACACACAGACACGCACACAGACACAGATACACACACAGACACAGATACACACACACACACACACACACACACACACACACACACACCTCTGCCCCGGCCCCATGGTCCGGGCCCCTGGGCCACCTCAAGGTGAGGAGCTGCCAATCATGTCCAGAGGACATGGAGTTTCTGACTTCCCCACATCCACCCCCTTCACCGGCCCTTTAACAAGTCTTTACCTGCTTGCTTGTGCCCATTTACAGGCCTCTGGCAGTTTCCATATGTGGCTCAGGGTCTCAGCTGGAGCCTTGGGACTCAGCACCCTCTGGCGTGGTTTAATTCATCATGTGTATGTCGTTGGTTCTGTTTCGGACACAGTGGGTCAGCATGGACCTTGGGCTGGCAGCAAATATGTTTCCATCTTCTCAGCCTCAGGCAGCGTGGCTCTGGATGTGAGGAAGGACTGACCTCGGGACCCTCCAGGACCCATGTACCCAGCCCACGAGGCCAGACCCCTGCCCTAACCCCTTCCCTTGCCCCAGAAGTGTAAGCGTAAAGCCAGTCAGGCAGGAGGGCACATGGCTTCCTTTTTATGCATGAAAAGTAAATTTGTACCTGATAGAGCTAAAATATGATTTCTTTTTGTAATCTCCCACCGTAACCCCATAATTTGAGCCAAATAGGATTACTTTACTTCACCTAATATCCCCACTGGGAGATTAATGCCACGCATAACTCCAGTCTCTGTCATTTCCTATTTCTTTTTAGTGGAAAAGAGAAGAGGTCAAAGGGAGAGGACCTTTGTCCATAACGGGAGGGGGCAGGGATCAGAGGCCAGATTGTTCTCTCATTCTCCAATTCATAAGTAACTGACTTTCCCGCTGAAATTCAGAGTCTGATCTCCGAGGTGTAAGTTGCATTGTAAACTCAGTAGCTTGCCGGAAAAAAATTGGGGGCTGTGAGTTCATAGATTAAATAATGAAAACAGGAACTTCTCAGTTCAGACTGCCCTTTGTCACCAGGTCCCACCTGTCCTCCCACTTTTAGCTGAGACCTGAGAGTGACAGTAAGTAGAGAAACACGCGGGGGCGGGGCGAGGTCCTCAAGGCTTGGCTGTGTGGAGGTGGCTGGGGGAGAGTCTTGCCTGGCCTGGAGCAGCGCCAGCCTGGGCGTCCCGTGAGCTGCTCCTGCCCTCTGCTGGCCAAGTAGTGGCTTAGCGGCGTGGGAGGGCATTCCCCCGCTGAGGAGGGCGCCCCCTGTGCCTCAGCCATCTGTCTGTTCACCTTTGAACAGGCCAAAGCCCGTCGAGAGAGATTTTTCTGGTCGACTTTTTTCAGATGTCTTTGCCTGAGAATCAAAAATTGCTGCTGTCTACCTTTAGCATTCCTAATAATTCTATTGGGGGAATAAATGCCTAGAAGATTAAAAAATTCCAGCGTAACTATAACTTCACACATGTTTTCTTTTAGGTCTAGGCCATGGGACAGGAGAGGTATAGCACAGAGAGAAGGTAATACTTTAGGAGGAGGTGAAGGCTGTAAGGTCAGTGCGTGCCTTTGGGGAAGCTGGTTGGCTAGCCAGTGAACTCTGAAGACACGCCGTCTTGGGGAGCTGGGGCGTCCTGTAGCACTAAGGCCCCACCCCAAGGCTCCCCCAGCAGCCCCTCCGCAGCAGGCCCTACAATTTTGGACTTGGAATACATCACGTGTTCTGCAGCCCTGTGGTTGTAGGACCTCTGGGACTAACCATGCTCAGAGGCTTGGCGTGTGAGGCCTCACAGGAAAAGAAGCTGGCTTTTCCCAGGTCCCCAGAGACCAAGTTCGGGCTGAGCTGGAACAGAGCCAGGCAGAAGGTGGCTCATTTCCATCGTCTGGTGCTCACTCAGCCCAGGGGCAGACCCTCTCCCCATGGCCAGCTGCCTCTTTTCACACACTGGGAATGCTTGCTGGGCCCCGGCTGACATGAGGCCAGGGGCCCAGAATGTTAGCAGCCCCTGAGTACCCCAAGTCAGCCTAGGGAGGCCCTGATTTGCCTGCAGATTCCTCTGTGTGCAGCGGAGTGTGGAAAGGCTGGTGAGTGGGGAGGCTTTTCCTTCAAGCCCTCACCTAAGGTGGCCTTCCGGGGTCTCAGGTCCACACTCCCATGGGGGTCCACATACGTGGCAAAGTCCCCAGTGGGGAGGCCACAGCCAGAATCCCTCTTCTGCTTCAGTGGGGAGAGTGAGGGTGGGGCCTGGTGGTGATCGGCTTCTCCTCAGCCAAGTCCGGGCCATCGAAGGTACGGCAAGGTGTAGGCGTGGCTTAGGGTGGCCTTAGAACTGACCCCTGATTCTAGTGGGAGGAGGAATCTCTCGACAGCAATGAATGAATGTCAGTTAGGACTTCAAATGCCAAAAAAAAGAGGAAAGATCTTTTGCTCCTTCCTCATTCCCTCCAGAATGCAGGCATGTGATTCTCCTGCTGGGTGGTGGGTAGGAAATTATCTGAAACGTTCCTGGTAGAGCAGCCAGAATCATTAAGAAGTTGTTCTACCAGGAACCCGGTCTCCAAAGCCCCAGGCAATATGTTTTAAATGAAAACACCACAGTCAGAGTGACGGCTTCGGATAATCAGCCACACTCCCTTCCACTTAGTCTCCTGTCATTTCTCACACAAATGGAGTTAGATGTTCGGGGACTTCCACCATCATTGCCCATGTTAAGAAAGAAGACTTTCTAATTTCCCCCACCCCGTTTCACCCTTTCTCACCCCAGCCGACACAGTCCCTAATCCCAGAGGGAAAAAAAAATCGGTGGCTTTTCCTACCCAGGAGCTGGTCTTTTCCCAGCTGCTCTGCGTGAGCGTCCTGGCTTCAGGGCGAGAGAGCTGAGTGCTTGGAGTGCAGCTGCGGGCCCCGTGGCCATGGGATCCATGGGGATTGTGCAGTTCAGTGGTCAAGAGAAAGGTCACCTGTCAGCGCCATGGGCCCCTGTCCAAGGAGCCACGCGGAAGAGCCACTTCTCCAGGCCCCAGCGCTGCTCTGAGGAGCCGCGGAGGCCCATGGGCCGGGGAAGGCTCCTCACTCGCTCGGCTGACTCGGGGTTCGTGGCTACCAAAGGCTTTAGCATTTTTTCCAGTACAGCTCCTGCAAAGCTTGATTTGTTCTCAAGATTAATCAGAATCTTGTATTCTTTTGAGTAATTTTCTTTTTAAAAATGAAGGATTTTTTAAGTACAGCTTTTTGATATAAGGACTATTGGGAAGGTCAGGCTTGTTCTTTTGTCCTCCCCCAAGTAAGATGTGAGAGGCAGCTGTTAGGTCCTGGTTCCTGAGAAATTTGCTGCTCTTCTTGGTGGGGCCGCAGGTTGTGGAGGCGAAGGTGGGTTGGAGGTGGAGGGACCTGCAGCTGCTCTGCTGGAGCCTCTACCTCGTCTCACTGGACTCTTTAAAGAATTCAGAAATGGATGAAAAACAGTAATGTCACTGGATTCTTATTTAGAAATAAAAATGAATGCTGCTGAATCGGACCCACTTTCTGTGTTTGTGTTCCGTGGCTTTGAAAAGGCCTGGGTCACGCCCCCCTAGACTCGG